GCCGATTTTTTTGCTTCCCATTGTGGAACTGGTATTTGGTTTGCTACAGTATATTGGTATGCGGTTTTCTTCAATTCGATCCTTGTTAGTCCATAATTGTGTTGTGCAGCTAAAATGAGGTAATCTCTCAAATCTGATTCTTGCTCCGGAGTGAAAACTTTGTGAATATCATATTTCGGTTTGTATTTGAATTCAACCCCTGGAGCTGCTTTTTTCACACTGCGTTCTATGGCAGATTTTGAAATTCCATATTTTCTTGAAGCCCCTCTCAGTGAAAGTATTCCCTCAACAACCTCTTGCACGGCAGCTTCCATTAACTGTTTGTCTGGATTATTACGAGACTTTCCTGTTTTACTTCTTCCCATTTTACCTGAGAAAAAGTGTTTCAATCAACTACCGAATTGATAAGATTGTACCTAGGGACACTAAACTTGTCTCTAGGTACATCCAATAGATGTGTCCCTAGGTTCATTCAATGCACGTGTTACAAAAAAAATCCAACCTAAAATCGAAATCAACATTCAGGATTCACTTACCAGCTATTTCTAGGACACTATTTGACCAACTATCATCACCGACACGTTCCAAAAATTATATCTTTACTTACAAAGTCGCAAACACAAAATTAATTTTCCTGAAAAAAATACTTTTCAGCATGAAAACCAAATACTTCCTCCAGAATATTTTCGTGCCGGCCATTTGTAAAAATTAACGAACTCAGAGGTGTAGGCAACCAAACAAACAAGTAGTAAAATGATTTGGCTTTCTATGATAAGATCTAGGCCTTAATCAGGTACTGTCTCTAGGTACATGCTGTCCCTAGGTTGAGCAACTTCCCCTACCACACTTTTTGAATGCATTTATAATATTGCTAGGTGTGAGAGATTTTTCATGAGCAAAGCCGACGCACTCAGCTACCTCATATATGGTCAAAGGCTTACCTGGATGTTGCATCATCCAGGTATCTACAGATGCATTATAACATGTTGAAAACGCTTTGAATACCCCCACATCTAGTGGTTGCATCTTATTTGTGGAATGAGGAGGAAATGTTAGAATTGTTACTCCGTTGTCTTTGGCCAAATTAAGAACACGAATACTAAGATGACTTTCATGATTGTCATAGATTAAAAGCGATGGATTTTCTTTAGAGCTGTTAGAATATTTTATAAAATGCTTTATCATTTCTAAAAAAAGATCGGCATTCATCCACCCACTTGGAGCAGCAAGCCCCAACGTTCCTGATGGGGAGCCTCGTAGCATATGCTCCTTTAGATGCACCCTAGGAAAAACCATTGCTGGTGGTAGGTATTGGCCCGTGGCAGTAATGATGCAACAAGTGCTAACCAATGTACCTCTCTCCCCACTTGTTAGGTATGGCACATTCTCTGAGTGAAAAACTTACTAATAACAAACTTATACTAAAGGAGGGAAATTATTCTAAATTTTTCAATTCATCGCTGCCAATGTTAAAAGAAAACTTTCCCCTTTTAACTGAGTTATTACGAACTTTTCTTATTATTTGGTCCCGGGTTATTACACAAAGATCCTCAATTTCCGGATAAACGAAATAGCCCTTCTCAGCAGTTCCCTTTTTTCTCATGGCGCTTATTGTTAATTCTTCACCGTAATTTTCTATCTTCCCAACAAAAAGTCTATCTCGCTTCTTAGTGGGGAATTTTGCTATGATGAAATCGCCAACATTAAGTTCTATGGATGGTTCTGGTTCAGCAGCTTTTGATGTTGTAGGTATTGGCGACATTGGAGTATTTTCATCGAGGTCGCTTTGAATATTTTCCCAGTCGCTTAGGGAAAATTCTTCATCTAGTTCTAAATCTTCCTCCAAATCGAACTCTAACTCTTCAGATGTTTCCTGGTCGTCCTTTTCATAATTTTTTTTTTTCGAAGGTCTTTTTTTGGGAATTTTGTCTGTTAAATTGGCTAACAAATCATTGCTTGAGACACTCTTTCCCGCTTCAATATTAATTTTTTTACCCCTTCTTGTCGCTTGATTGGGCGTGGTTTTCAAATTGTCCAGGTGGTTTACAATTGTTTGAGACCATGCACGGTCATCATTTTCTGCATTGTTATTCTCTACGTTCCTTGGAATTTTATTTAAAACTTTGTTAGGATTCAGAGGCACAATTCCGCAAGCGTTAAAACCTGCAATCGAATTTTGTTGAGATCTTATGCCAATTTTTTCGACAGCCTCCTTAAGCAGCCTTGGGAACTCTGTTTTTGGAATCACTCCTCGGTGTTTTAGTTTCCACTTTTCCAAAGTTGCTCTCCAGGCGATTTTTAGAGGCCTGAAGTAAGCAACATCGAGTGGCTGAAGAAGGTGTGTTGAGTTGGGGGGGAGAAGGACAAATCTAATGCCGTTATTCTCACATTCTTGAATAACGTTCATTGTGATGTGACTATTTAAATTATCCCCTATTAAAACTTTTGGTCCAGCTAATTTCCTGAAATAAGGGATAACAATTGTTTTAAACCAGTCTTCGAATAATTCTGAGTCGAACCATCCACTCATGCTTCGGTTGTATCTAGCTCCCTCAATTCCCCCTTCTGTCCATCCTTCATAAGAATGTTTTGCCTTGTATACTACGTAGGGAGGAAGTAATGTTCCGTCTGCAGCAATGGCAAACATGACAGTTGTACTTGTTTTTGAGGAGTCGATTAACCTATGAGCATGCTTGGCACCTCTTCTGGTTATCACTTTAACTGACCCTGGATCGTCCACAAAATTTGTCTCATCATAGTTTATGATATTTTGGGCCGGAACGTCTGTCAATGTGACTCGCAAATTTTCGAAGTATTCTTGAATGACTCCATAAGTTAATGCTCCCCTAACACGCTTTGTGTTTTCGGCCAATTTAACAGTTAGGTCTTTATGTCTGTTCATAAAACTCTTGAACCATTCCATCCCCGGCATGTTATTTTTGAATCTTGGTTCTACCGTTCCAAGTCTATTAAAATATTGTTGTACAATTGTCCGGACGTCCGTACTTTTTAAAGGAAATCCCCACGTAGCACAAATTTGAAGTGTTTCTTTCAGCCTAAGCTCCTGAGTGTCACTAAGTGCAGGCTGCCGACCATACTTCAAGCCATGGGTTCCATGATACCGTCTTTGTATTGTGCTATAAGGCACAGCATACTGTTCTGAAGCTTGTCTCATGGACACATCACCTCGACGAACCGCTTCCACTGCTCGGCGAACATATTCCTTGTTGTAATTGCATTTTCCTCGTGGACCTAACTTTTTCACATATTTTCTTGGCATGCTATAAATAAATTTAAAATAAAAATAATAAATTTAAAAGAAATTAGTAAAAATCATAGCAAAACACTATAAAAATAACCAATCATAAAATATAACCTAATTTTTACATAAAAATCAAATGATTCATTTTACCCAGTAAACTCACCATTTTGAAATAAAAAAAATGCCGGAGCTTAACCAAAAACATTTTGATCAAAACTATCGTAGATTTGTGTTCATTAATAACTAAAGAACATATTTATTGCATCTAAGTTGATAGAATTTCAAAATGGGAGCTTCTACAAGCAATCGTTTCCAACATTTCAAAAAATTAATAAAATTCGTTAACCACTAAAACGTATTCTTGGTACTTACGTGTTTTTTTAAGTGCAGCGCACCACTCCTACTACATTCACATACATACTGGCAAGGCAACCACGACGCGAAAACGTTAACATTTTTTAACTGGAGACAACAGCCCCACCTTTTTTACGGAAATGTCCGAGTGATTCATTTTACCCCTAGTGGTTCATTTAACCTCATTTGACCGTCGAGCGGGGCTAAGTGGACCAAATTTTTCGGTTTTTCCTAAGTTTTTCTTAAATCACTAAAAGTTTTGCTTTGAAAGTTTGCATATAAAATCTACCATACCTTAGTAATTTAACTCTGAAAAATTACAGTTCTAGGATGTATAGTTCCAAATATATAATTTTTATAAAAGGTGGTCCACTCTTCCCGCACAAAGGGGCAAAGTGGACCACCTCTATTATTTGCGTGTGATGGTCATATTTCAACACTGTATTGGGAAAGTGGTCCACAAAAAACGTTTTTTATTTATTAGAGATCGATTTTTGGAAATCAAGAAATATTTAAAATGAAATATCACACGTGGTAGTAGATAGAAAATAAATATTTGTTCCAATTTAAACAAAAAACAAACTGTTAAACTCTAAAAAGAAAATATAAAGTTCTGAAATTATAAAGGTTTCAAGATAACGTAGAAATGTCTTTTTTCATCTTAAATGTGTATCTGCCTCTACAATGGTTTCTAACAGAAATTATTACCACAATATCTTTAGAGTCTATAATACACTCGTCTTGGACTTGAGGAAAACTAAAGTAAGTCTCTTTCCCTATTATTTTTCTTAAAAATTTTATTTGAAATCTGTTCTGTATTTTATTTAAGGTACCCGTTCCTAATAAGGCCATGCTAATTTTAGAGGCCTTCAGAAGATGAATATTTTATCGTATAGTAACCAAATTTATAGAGTAAGTTCGTTACACTATTTTTATAAGTAACATCTATAATAATCAAATTTTAAATCAGTTTTAGGTGAATTTCTCATATTTTTTTAAAACATTGTAACTGGGCCTTATTAAGACCAAGGGTCCTTAATAAGACCATAGGGGATACCCAAATATGGCCCAAGTAATAAGAGATCATATTATGGTTGATAATTACATTTATTTCTTAAAAAAAAAAACATATACACCCTTCAGTAAATAAGTAAAAGCCTTCAAAAGTATAAAAAATAAAAAAAAAACAAAGTTCTAAATTGCGGTTAAAAAATAAATGTACTCTTGTGATGCGGCAATAATAAATTCTTACAAGAAATAAAAATCAAAGTTTACAAACTTAACAAAACGTAAACGCCGGAACGACATTGATAATTATAAAAGGTGAATGCGTGTTGATAAATAGAAAATTGATAAGCAGGAACTGATGCCGACGTGTGTAGTTTCAGTCAGAACACGAGGGACATATAAAGAAAGATTCTTTATCCTTCACGGTTAAACCTACACAATCTTCGTGAACATACCGAAGACACATATTGCATAGTCGCATATTTGCCACTTCATCTTCATCACAAACGTGACAATACCATTTTTCTAATACTTTCTTGGTTTTTTTCTTTGGCTGATATTTATTCGCTTTCGAAGCAATCTGATTTTTTTGTTCACTTCCCTTGAACAAATCTTTCGTTACGCGTTGTGCCCTATAATTTAATGATTTTTTTCTAGGCGTTATTTTTTTTTCTTCAATTTCAGGCGTGGGTAATACCTTTTTGAAAGTGGATTCATTGTCAGATTTTTGTTCTGGAGAATGTTCTTCTATGGGACTCCTTTCACGAATAAAGCTACTGAAACTCTCATCCCCCGAAGAAGAATCTCGTACAGAATAATCCCTTGAAGTGTCAGAGCTTGAGGAGTTGGCCACTTTCTTGATTTTCTTTGGATTCCCGTTAGGCTTCTGAACTCCACTTGGACCAGCTCTACACGTAAAACTATCGGAAAATGTTTGCTTCACTTTAGATGCCACATCTAGCTTTTTTTCATTACTTCTTTTATTGATAATAAGAGTTTTTGGAATAACTTCAAGGTTTGCACGATTTAAATCAGCTGCATGTTCTTGCTCGTCATTTTGTATTTCTATCGCTTCATTTTCTCCATTCGAAGATCTTCTCATTGTGAGCTCCGAAGGCGCGAACACATTGTCAGGTATAACGTTTGGGTCGAAAGGATAAATTCCAGTTGCCCGAAATCCAGCTGTAATGTTAGATGGTGTTACTGCCCGTGGCCATACTTTGCTGAAAATTGTTCCGAAATTCAACTTAGTTATTCGGTGGTTGGGCTTATTTGTCCAGAAAAGTAACACCTCGTCATCCCAATAACTTTCAAATGGCCCAAAGACAGACTTGTCCATCGGTTGTAATTGATGGGTGGTGTTACTAGGAAGACAATACAGAGTTATGTCATGTTTATCAGCCTCTTCAACTATTGAGAAGTCAAGGTGAGAAGATGCGCCGTCAAAAATGAGAAGAACCTTCTCGTTCGGCTTAAACTGAGAAAAGTGTTTAATCCAAGTCACAAAGGTTGAAGTGTTCATGCTGCCTTTCTCGGTCATTTTGATAACAGCTCCTGGTGGAAGATTCTCGGACCATTCCTGTTTTTCCCTTTTCCCTTTCATTAAAATCATTGGGGGTATTACTTGTCCAATTGCATTACCACATGCCACTATCGTAACATTTTCCGCATGTTCTTCTGCAATAATATGAACATTTGAAGAACCACGTTTTGCAAGCACTTGTGGTTGCTTGTGCAAGGTCAGCCTGCATCCCTTTTCGTCCATATTAAAAATTAGGTGCGGTTTATTGATAATATCCATTTCCTCCAAGACACGGCGAAGTTTTGCAAAATGATCATTCACTATGAACTTGTTTAGTTTTGCTGCCCTTGCAGCATTCATTTGCTGTGCTTTGCGTCTTGCCACATCCTCATGTCGCTTAAGAAAAAGGCGGAACCATTTCCTTCCTGCAGTTTTTTTGGCATCAGAAAATGGGTTGGGTATTTCAAGCAGCTGGCAGTAGGCAAAAACCGATCTTTTCAGGAGCTTCGAAGTTAACGGCATTCCAATGTCGCATAATCGGAATATTCGTCCACAAAGATCAGTCTCCTGAGCGGCTGATAAGACTGTTGGGCGGCCCAATCTTTTTTCACTCACACCAGATGCAACATGATTTCTCAAAGTCCTTCGAGGTATGCCATAGTTTATGCTAGCACTTCTGACAGATGATCCCCCTCTCACCGCATCCATTGCACGCCGCAGCTGTTCTTGCGACCACTTTGCCCGTTTTTTTGGAGGTTCCATTATTCCTGGAAAAAGAGATGTACCTAGTTATTTCCTAAAATAATAAATAACTAAAAATTTATACTGAGGTCCAATTAAGGCCCATGGGCCTTATTTGGGACAAAATTGTGGGCGTTATAAGGGCCCCGATAATTTTTCTTGTTTTTGAAGAATGAAAAGGACGTAAAGCACCAAAGGATAACATTAACTGCTCAAAAAACGATACCAGTGGATAGCTAAAACTGCACGCTATGCTATAGTACCAAAACAAAAAAATATTTACTTACTTTCATACAAATTTTGAGCACTTGGAAGAAAACACTGTTTTTAGATCACGGACCTGCGACGTACCACTATGGCGGCTATGTTTCAACTGACGCGCTCGCGCAGGGGGTAACGCCTGATTTAACCTTGACTAGTTCTCGGAGGATGAATCGTTTGTGGAAGGGCGTTGTGTGGTTTATTTTGGTTACTCAGGGTTGCCACATTTGGTAGCGTGCCTTGTAAGGGACCCTGGCCTTTTTTGGCTCAGGTACCTTATTATCTGTCCAACGTAATATAAATTTCTTTTTGATGAAGTGATTTCAAACTTCACGATGACAAAATCGTCTTTCACCAATTTATCTAAACTTTTTTGTTGAGCTGAAGAATTACAAGAAGTTGAACTGGTACCAACTTTTTGTAATTCTTCAGCTTCTAAAATTTCGTCTTCATTAGAAACGTCACTCGCAAATATTTCATTATCAGATGAATCATTGTGTTGACTGTAATCGCCTTCATCCTCGGAGGATGTTTCATTCTGTTCAAATGAAACACTTTTTCCTGGTGCTACTTTCATTTTCTTACCTCTTGGTTTTTTTTGCTGGTTTTCGGGCATTCTTGTTTTTTTTAGAAATTCGATTAACTCTTGGTTAATCGCATTAGAAATGCCCGGTTCATCTGGAGCCTCTTTTGGCAGTCGCTGTAAAACTTTCTGCCGATTTAACGGACAAATTCCACAAGCAGCAATACCAGCTTTCAAATTTTCTGATGAGGTTTGAAGGACCTCTAAAGTTTTCTTCAAAAATCTAGGAAAATCGGATTTCGGGACTACTCCCCTATTGTTTTGTTTCCACTCTAGAAGCACAGCTCTCCATTTCCGTTTTAGTGGACCAAAATACGCCACATCGAGAGGTTGACAAATTCCAGTAGAATTTGGCGGAAGTAACACAAATCTGATGTCATTTTCGTTACAAGTTCGGATGACAGCTTCAGAATCATGGCTCGATAAATTGTCCCCAATTAAGACCCGAGGAGCAGGTTGGTTTTTAAAGTATGGCAGGGCAGTACTCCGAAACCAATCTTCAAAGGTCCTTTCGTTAAACCATCCGCTCTTCGATCTATTTATACCGAGTTTGAGGTAGGCCACCTTTAATCCACGTAGGATATAAGTTCTCCGCTCGATATACAACATACGGTGGAAGTAATACTCTAGCGGCTGATCCACATAACATTATAGAGATGCTTGTTTTTGATGAGTCTATTATATATTTTGGGTGCTTAGAGCCTCTTTTCAAAATCACTCTTTGTTTTCCCGGGTCGTCGCAGAAATTCGTTTCATCATAGTTTAAAATACTGTCTGATGAAACGCCTAGTAATGTATTTTCAAGTTGATCAAAATAAGAGTTTATAAGGTCGGCACCAACTGCAGCCCTACAACGCTTGATGTTTTCTGAGAAGCGCACTGAAAGCTCAGGGTGTCTTTTTAGAAAAAGCTTAATGAAGTCCTTTCCTGGCATATTGTTCTTGAATCGTGATTCTCGAATTCCAATACGATCAAGAAATTGTTTAATAATTAACCTTATATCTAACATGGTCAATGGAAATCCCCATTCTCCACAAATAATGAGGCTTCGGGCTATTTGTTGTTCTTCATTATCATTCAAAGCTGGTTGACGACCATATTTTCCTGGGTGGGTTTTCTCCAATTTCCGTTTTAAGGTTGTTCTTGGTATGCCATATTTTGTACATATTTTTCTTCTAGAAAGCCGACCTAACTGTGCCTCTCTGATTGCCAAATTTAAGTTTTCTTCTGTGTAGTTGCAGTTAGGAACTTTTCCTAGTTGTTTTTTATAGTTGCGGACCATCTTAAGTCAACTACAAAAAAAAAAAACAAATTTAGAACCTCTCCTGCGGGTAAAATGGACCGGTCCACTTACCCCGCAGTTTTGTAGTTTATTTAATTTATACAAAAAAACAAAACAAACAAATAATAAAAAAATATTTTTAACACTTATTCATTGTACATAAATGTTTTATTAAACCTCCCAATATACGTAAAAACTTACATCAGTATTCTGATCCGGAAGGCAGAGGAGGTTTTACAGCTGTTTGAAGTAAACAATAAATTGGCGCGACTGTTCGTACCCCTACAAGTTTCGTCAACCAACTGCAAGTAGCTGCAACTCGATATGGTAGCATCTATTATAGGTTTATAGACAAATTGGCGCGCGGAAGCGTTGTTGTCGGTTTTATTTTAGGAAGTACACATTTTTTTTATTTTTAATGTCCTCTTGGTCCACTTTACCCGCTATGGTCCACTTAGCCCCGCTCGACGGTACTGACACTGTATTTTTATTAAAGTTGACACACCGCGCAATGCTTGTAGCTTCTGGATATAGCATTGATAATCTAGAGTTTCTTTTCAGATAATAAGAGAACCAATCAGGTCCAGCCATTTTATTTTGATCCCAGGAAAGTGGATATTTAACACCCAATCTTTTTGCATATTCGTAGGCTAGCTTTTTCACTTCTTTAACCGATAAGCCATGATAAATATCTGAAGATTTTTTGATATAATCTTCTAGGATTTTCTCTTGCTCAGTTGTAAATACTTTTCGATTTTGGATATAGCCAACTTGGAACTGGTGACCGTTCGTATATTGTAGTTCGGCGGCATTTGTTTTTGAGCAGAACCGAATGAGCGTTCTAGAAGGTATCCGGAAATCTTGTGCGATGCTTCTCCTGGAACGTCCATTGATCAAAACTTAAAAGAAAATAATATTTTCCCAATATTCATAGCTATTATATTAACGCTTTCATAAGGTAACTCTTTCTCTGCCCTTATCAGAGTGTCTTTGGTATAGTTTGCACGCTCCGTTTTCCTTTGGTAGGTTCTAATTGCAAAACTAAAATAAATCAGATTCTTGATTATTTTCACCATTACAATCTGGCAACGGGGCAAGTTGGCGCTGCGTCAACATATCCCGTTTGTTTTGAGACCTGCCCCAACCCACGCCAGCCTGCATTTCCCGCGAAAAATATATAATCCCAAAATATTTTGTAATTGCAAATAGGTAAAATCAATCTGCGCAGTTTAAGTGGCTATATTCACGATTTATATTTTAGTAATTACCTGTGACTTATGACGAATTTTCCAAACGTTATAAAAGTTACTCAGTTGTTAAAAAATTCTGATTTTTAGGACTGCACCCAAACGATGGCAGAAATCGACTTGACTGATCGTGTGTGAAGTTGGTTGCATAAGGTCAACCTCCAAAAACAAACAGCGTTGCCAAATATTTATTATAAAGTAGGCAAAATTTTCGATTTCCCAATGTCATATCTGTCAGTGAAATCTTCGATTTCGGTTGAAGCGCCTGTATATATTACAAAATCCAAAATGTAACCTGTATCGCAATAATAGAAAAAATTTTACACCGAATCTGTGACGTTTGGATGGAATGTACTGGCGAAAAAACACCCGACCCCGGAAAAGCATCAAACTTTCATCTATACATAAGTTCTTGGTTGGCACAAATCCTTCCTTGAAACGCATGCTAAGATGGAGAGAGAGTCATAGTTGAGACTCTTATTTTTAGCAGTGAATTTTTTTTCTACCGGAATATTATCGTTATCCGTGAAATGCCACAATTTCAATATAAGCAAAAATCTGTCTCTTTTTATTAGTCTTTGAAAGATTGGTGTACTAATATACGTGTCTGGTGGACCAATAGTCATTTATTTTTTGTTTTTTTTTGTATGGGGCATGAGAAGAGCAGTAGCCAAAAAGCAGTATAGTTCCTTGAATTCAACTGGTTTCCACTTCTTCATGCGCGAAAATTCTGGAACTTCGTTGCGACATAAAAAATTGTAATAATTATTGATCTCATCAGCAGTCGACTGCATAATTTCTGGAGTACTCAAAAAAATCAAGAGCTGAATCACCTCGAATTTTGCAGCCTGAACTGGATTCGTCAAATTTGTGAACATGTGGGGAAAAATTGTTCGTTGACCAGTCAAATCTGCCTTGTGGAGGACGAGGGGTTTCTTCATCTTCACTGCTAGAGCTCGAGTCAATTTCCATCATATAATTTCTTTGGCTTTCCTCTTGATTTTCAGCTTCAGATAGTTCGTCGTTTGAAGGAAACGCTTCGTATTCTTCGTCGCTGTCGTCGCTTCTACAAAGAATTTCTTCTAATTCAATGTCGGTATAATATTTCTTTGCCATTATAATTTATAAATCCGCCAAATGCAGAAAAAAACAATATATAACAGCTCCGAGAGTCCAGGCTATACGGTGAACTCTGCTATTTCCAATCACATACATGTACTAGCTCGCTGTAGACAATTTGCACGAAAAGCAACGTTGCCAGCTCGCCGCCACCCTACAAAATACGATGCTGCGATTTTTCACGGCTGGAGCAGTCAGATCCTATTTTATTTTGAAATGCGAGTATTCTCGTCTGGAGCAGTGAAACGGTTAGCGAGAATACTCGTCTTGAGCAGCGAAAGGGTTAGACCGTTCTCTTAAAATCAATTCACTAATAGGTAATTACTAAAGTTTCAAATTTCTACATGTACTTACAACCTGTCCTTAAATTCACAAACGATCAAAATTACTTTCAGTTACTTAACGCGCACAAGCAAAAGGAAACTTGATACTACTTTATGACTCTTACTGGACAATAGTCAATTGCAAACTTTGTTTTGCCCGGGGCAAAACTAACATATTTGGTGGAGACTCACTGCCAATTCTCTTGATTCTTAAAATCTTACTATCAAATAAACTGCTGGATGTTATCTCTTTTCTGATTGTAACCTGCTTAAATAATACTCAATTCCCACCAAAATTCTGTTACGTGGGCGGTCATTTAGCATTTCTCGAACCAATCATCATATTTGACCTCGTTTATCGAGTGATAAACGACATTGTTGTTTTCCAAGAATTGTTTTTACTTAGGAAATGATGCAACATCCGGCGGAAATACCGGTGTTGTAGTTTATCAATTATGACGCCATTAAATCACATGAGTATAGTGATTTCCGGTTAAACGCGTCCTAATTTTATAATCTCTTATCGATTTTTTTTTTGTTTATCCGAATGTCCCAAGAGTTTATTAATTGGGGACATCGAACCCTGACATCCGGTCGCTTATCGCTTGCGTTGGAAAAAAAATTGTTATGTAATTTGAGTTGAGCTTAGAAATCTCGTAATTTTTTATTTATATTATTTTTATACGAAATTAGATGCTGGATTGCTAGGAGATTTAATAAGTTGAGATTAAATTATCTTGCAACTGACGAAATTTTTAGGGTCGCCACAGCAACACAAAAAAAAAAGATGAAGCGTTGAAGCTTCGAAACCGGTAGTACTTAAATAAAGAATTTTGGGATTTTCAAGACTATTTTTCTTCACCACATACAATCCTTATAATTATTTTAACTTACCGCAACAGTAAATCCAGTTCAAACAAAAACTCCAACTAGGGTAACTGATTAGGTAGGTACCTTCCCTGATTAGAAACGAGAAGAATAGAAATGATATATTTTTATATTAGTTGAATCGTGTTTGTCATTATCTCTCAATCTTGACTAATGTATCTGCGATTTATTACACTGAAATCTAAAAATTCTGCTGACAACCTGACAAAAATTAAAGCAAAATAGTGGTTAATTGACCAGCAAAATTTGTTTCCTGTGAAACACTACGTGCCTTAACCATTGTTTGCTGTAAACTCATTAGTTAAGTAACCAAAAAGGTCACCAGACATTGTGAAACTGGACGTAAATGTCGCTGTTGTTTCAGGGACACATTTCCATTAGGATCGTCTACTTTTGGTTTGGCACCTCTTTTCCTGATTTTTTTTTTAGAGAAGGGATTTCAGTTACGGAAATGCTTGTTTTTGATGGTCGTCGGATCATTTCCTTGATAGATTTTCTGGCTCTACCGGACCAGTGTTAGTGTCTCATAGGGTGATTGCCCTCGGCAATCCTTCGTTGATTTTGGTTTAAAACTTTCTTTTGTTTTCAGTTTGATTTAGGTTTGTTTTATTAGGTTGTTTTTTTTTCCAAAATAACTAGCTAGGTCTCTCTAACTATTTTTCTCCCTTTTGGAGTTTTCCTTGGCGGTTTATTTCTCATTACACGATATTACCTAGTCGGAGGGCTTATCTTTTAGAATATCTTCAAAGTGATGAATATATTGCTTTCAAATATGCCCACTTTTGGATAATATATATTTAAAGCAAAAAATATTTTAAACAAAATATCAAATGCTCGTAGAGTATCTTCGAACTGGTAGCGAATTTCATCCACTACTACATAACTATTTTTAATTTGCTCCGTATTTTCCCCTTCTACTAAAAGAAATGGTTGCAAAATGAGACTTCGTAGTTAAACCCTTTCTTTTTGCAGGTTTATCCTCTTATTAATATCGGCGGCACTTTGTAATGTAAAATAGACCTATATAAATATAAAAATTCTAGAAATTCTTAAAGTTAATAAAGTGTAAGGCCCCAACCTCAGAAACTTAGTAAGATGTTAAAGTTGGCGAGCAGTAATTTATCTAGTCTCTGAGTGGAGACACAGATTTGGTGTGGGTCCTAACTGCTGGTGAGAGAGAGTAAAACACAACCGTAGATAATTATGGTTTCTATCAAATTTATTTACTTGTCTTCATATAAATAGTGATCGGTCTAGAAGTGGCCGACTCAACTTTATGTTCGAACCCTAACATTAATTACACTTCGATGCTTACGCTAGATATCCCTCAAGCTTGAAATTATTTTAGTTTAAATTAGCCTTTGACAATATCCATGAAATTGATAAAAGAATTTTTCACTTAACTTGTCTAGAATTATGATTCATTTAACAAAATACTACTAATTGTAGCATTTTCAATTTCTTGTTTGATATGCTACTGTGTTTTGCTCTGGTCGATATGGTTCCGTATAGAACTATAAAGGAATAAATGAAGGAACAACTGTCTTTTCTGTGCCCAGATTTTGTTACCTTGAGTACTGCCTTCTACTGGAAGTTTTTTTGGTTTAGGTTTGCAAGTTTTGTTAATTGATCTAGGAAGGTTTGATTCAGTACGGCAGGGCCCGCTGTTATTGATTAGAATCTTAGGAAAAGGAGGTAGTACCATTATCATCTCTGTTTGCAAATCCAATCAGTAATCTGAGGTTATGATAATTTGTTGTTTACTCTTTGATTTTTCATTTCCATCATGTCATTGAACAGCTGTTTTGTCTAGGCGTTTTCTTTAGACCTGTTCTACCTATTGATATATGTTCTATAGGCACTTTTCAACATTCACCAGTCATTTTCTACACAACCGATTCTCAGTTCGTACTTTTGGGGTGAAACTGAACTCGCTTTTTTCTATAATTTTCTTCAATGTCAAAATTAGAAGTTTGACAACTGAGAGCCTTCTTCCGAAATCTAAATGAAGAATCAGCCCTTTTGATCTTGAGACTTGATACCGAAAGGTTGGTCTCGGCCCTATTTGATTTTGGGCGAGACTTTTTTGGAATTTTGTGCCAGGGAACTCAAGGTTTAGACTAATATCTAGTTGATAATTGTCTAGAGTCGTCCCTTGGTCATTTTGGATTTTGTTTCGGTAAGTTTTTGAGATTTTCTTCAGGAAATATTAACCTACAACACGTGTTCCATTTTTTCAATAGGACTGTTCCGAGCAGCATTTGGAAGTTTAAGACTTCACCTTTGGTCTAGAGCAGTGGTTCCCAAAGTGGGCGATAACGCCCCCCAGTGGGCGCTACAACCATCTCGGGGGGCGGTAAAGAGATCAGCTGATTTTGGGGGGCGGTAAGCACATATTAGTGGGCGGTGGAAAATAAACGAACAAATCAGAAAAAAAAAATTAAATAGTAAATGGCTTTTTACGGAAATTACTCTTCAATACTATAAAGATGAGGCTCATAGTCAGTCTATGTCTATCTCTTTCAGAGTCAATTTTGGCAAGCTTCAAGTTATGAACACAACCCGCACGCACCTCAACTAAGTCTGCTATGACTTGCTTAAAATGCGATTATTGTATTTTACTTATAAATAACTTCAAATTAGCTCCGTCAAGTAAGCCCCCCCATTCGACTTTTCTAACAAAATTGCAACCACTTTGAACTGTGCTGTTCTGATACCAAAGTTATAGGGAAAATAAGATGAGGGGCTAACTTGACGCTCAGCCCCCCCAAAATTTTGGAAATCCAATCGAACAAAAGTGAATTCTCATGCAATCGGAAGTGTGCTGAACTGTGCTGTGTATCAGGTTTTTCTCAAAATTTTCATATTAGGTCATTTTCTGACAAAATCTTTCTGGGGGTGCTAACTTGACCACCAGTCCCCAAAATGTTGGAAATCAGATGAAACAAAAATGGATTCTTATGCAAACTGAAGTGTGCTGGGTCCTTATCCTTGAAACAGGGGAGCAGCGTTCCCAGGAGAACGAGTGTTTCGTCTTTCTCAATGATATGCAACTGATAATATAAGTAACAAAGACGGAATACTTGTTTTCCTGGGAACGCTGCTCCCCCGTTTCAAGAATAGGGATACTGGACTGTGCTGTATTAGGTTTTTCTCGAAATTTCCATATTCGGTAATTTTCAGGCAAAATCCTATTGGGGGGAGGGGGGGCTAACTTAAAGTTCGGCCCCCAAAATTTTGGAAATAAGATGAAACAAAAATGGGCTCTTATGCAATCTGAAGTGCGCTGTATCAGGTTTCTTAAAATTCCCATATTCGGTCATTTCCTGACAAAATCCTACTGGAAGAGCTAACTTGACGCTAAGCCCCCCCAAAAATTTTGGAAATCAAACCAAAATGGATTCTTATGCAATCTGAAGTGTGCTGGACATGTGTTGTATCAGGTTTTCTCAAAATTTCTATATTCGGTAATTATTCGACAAAATCGTACTGGGAAGGCTAACTTGACGCTCAGCCTCCCAACATTTTAGAAATAAGATAAAACAAAAATGGATTCTTATGCAATCTGAAGTAAGATGCTGAACTGTGCTGTATCAGGTTTTTCTCAAAATTTCCATATTCGGTCATTTTCTGACAAAATCCTACTGAGGAGGTAACTTGACGCTCAGCCCCTTGCCAAGAAAACGCACGACTGTGAAAATTTTCAAAAAAAAGGCGCCGCTTCATTATTTTGGATTCCTGCCAAGGGGGGCGCTGGATAATTTCCATTTTCTAAAAGTGGGCGGTAGGTTAAAAAAGTTTGAGAACCACTGGTCTAGAGTATCCCTCAATTTGAGGTAAGATTATTTCTGTTATTTGGGGCTCGATTTGTTTTTTATACGAACATCGTTATAGGGTCCTACTCCTACTCCTAGTCCTAGTCCTAGTGCTAGGCTGTAGCTAGACAGTCTTAGGCTATAGTTGGACAGCTCCTAGAAAGAGATTCTAGACTGGTTCTGGATTGCTCTCAGTTGGGGCTTTGATAGCCATTCTTCAGCAACTCTCTTGGTACCACTCTGACAGAACCATGTGGAAATCTACGTATAATGGATACAACATGGATAGAGCTCCAATAGAACTCACTTAGAAAACCTTAGTCTATCTATAGTGAGATCAAACCTGTAGATAATCTCACTTTGGAAACTTCTGGATTTTTACATACATTTCACTTGTATACATTAGTAAGTTGCACTTTCACTATTTAGGCAAATCTTATATAAATCACTTGATACTGATTTACGTTCGGTAAGTGCCCCTTAAATAAAATTCTAGAATTTTACCCTGAGGTTGCCCAAAGAATAACTTTCTATGTTTAATTTGCCTGTTGGTAAGGTGTAACCCATACTGTATTTTTCTTATCACTCACAAGTCGATGGTTAAAGTGCAAAACCTCGTAAGTCAATATTAATAAATTTTACAGGAAAAGCGAAAAACGGTTACACTCATTAATCGATAAATTTGAAAAAGTGTTTTAATTAAAATAATGTAATATGCTGAAGCATTTTCTTGAGATATACATATTTTTTCAAAATTTTTGTTGATTCAAAAAAAAATCTACTTACGAGGTTTTGACTTCTAATATTTAAAGTGTTTGGAAAAACTTACGAGGTTTTGTACGGAAATATCAATTTTTAAAAACAAAAATCAATTTTTTAACAATAGTAATTAAATATGTTGTTAAATAAAAAAAAACGACATAGTTTACCAAGTCTGTTTATTGCGAAATAACTAAATAAATCATGTAATTCTGATAATACTTGAACATTTTATGAAACTTCCCAGGTTATTATTTTTTTTGACTAATAAGACTATCATAAAATGGTCTGAAGTCCTCCGGGATAAACATTTTCAAATCCTGGAGATGTTGGAACTTATCAGGTTTTATTTTTAGTGGTTCACTATACAAAGACGGAACCGTGATATCAACTTGATTGTTTTGTCTACGCCTGGTAAGTTGAGCCCAAGCGTCTTCATAATTAATTTTAAATTCAATGGTGCCATCAACCCGGTATGCTATGCATCTTAAATCGGTTACTTTTGGATCATGTGTCTTATTACCTGGACGAATAGAAGTATAGGAGTTTAACACGGAATATTTTTTAAAGAAAGTGTGAGGAAGGTAATGAACTTCATACGGATTTTTTATTTTTGCAGTTTTTGCTATTTGGACATAACATCCGGGCACATAAACCTCCCGATTTTTTAATTTTCTTTCTATGCATGCGTGAATGGAGTCGCACTCCATTTGCGTGTGTCCTTTTTCGAGGTAATATTGGTATATTTCCAAGTCTTTTGTTCTGGCCAAAGCCGATAAAGCGTTAGATAAGTTCACGTTCCGATTTTGGTACCCACATCCATCACTAAAGATAATGACTGATTTAGTTTCTCCTGTCGCATACCTGTTAATGTAATCTATAATAACGGACGTGAATTCGTTAGAAGTGACACCTCCAGCAGCCTCGTGCCAAATATAACAATCTCCCTTGCCCGATATCATATTGAAAAAGGTGAAGTTATGTACGGTTAGCTTCATTTTATAATATGATGCAGATACTTGTAGTTTAGGAGCTGTCAATACTGATTGGACATCCATTGAAAATAACAGTGTGTCGCACTGATCTTTCCTGTAAATAAAAACATAATTAGTTAAAAATAATTGTTAGTAAGACTATTAAATTTTACTTTGGCCTGTACAGTGAAAGGTTCTGATTTCTTAATTCCTCTCGAAAAGTAGTGTGATTGATTGCTTGAAAATTCTGCCTTGCGCATTCCGCACAGTAGAACCGGTATAACTCGTTTATGTTTTGCCATTGCGCTTCTAGGTACAATTTAGCAGTATCTTTTCTACAATAATGGCTTTCCATTTGTGGAAGGGTTCGAAGGAACCTAATAAGATACTCTTTATCCTTTGAGGGTTGTTTTTTGCTTCGAAGGTTTTCAGTTGGTTTCGGAATTGCTGACTGCTGATTGCAAGGTGGGACATTCTGACTAACCCAACTTTTGATACTCCATTCTCCTATACAGAGCGTCTCCATAAACATTTTCCTGCACACTCGTTTCCGTACATTCTCTTTCTTGAGGTAAAATCTGTAGGCAACCTGTCTTGGTTTTCCCTGTAGGTATATCTAAATAAAATCTTTTTAATAAAAAGAAAAATTGGTAAGGAGCAATTTCATTACCTGTCCGATGGCATTTTGGAGTAGCTGTATCTACAAGTCCTCTTATGTAGACTTTCTTCTCACTCCAGGTAAGATTCTGCCAAAACTCATCAAATATCCCTTTTCTCTCTAGCTCTGTGAAGGCTTGACAAAAAAATTGCTTAGACTTTGTAGATAGTTTACATTTGCAAGCAGGCCCCATTTTTCTTTCTTCCCTTTGGATTTTTTCATACCTTTTTTCTTTCTTTAAATGTTTAAATGATACATAATTTTCGCCCTTCATTCTTTTATGTTTATTTTTATTTCTCTCACTATTTAAAGCATTCACAGATTTTCCCTTCGATCTAATCCTCTTTCTACCTCTCGGTGTTTCTAACTCTTCATTTCTTGGGCTTGCTTCTAAAACTTCTTGAGGTTCTTCCTCGACTTCCTCAGACACTCTCTCTTCAGATTGATTTGATGGCACCTCGGATGGCACATACTCAGATCCACTGTCTTGAAAAGGTTCACTTCTATCACTTGGTATATCATCATCACTAGTGTGATCAACCAATGTTCTTTTTGGCAGAGTGAAAGAATTATCAGGCTCCAAATCAAGTCCCACATTAGCAACATCATTTTCTAATATGTTTGGGTCATCTGTACTTCGAAAAGCCTCATCTTTTGTTTCCAAATCAGTTTCAGATATTGTTGTATCCTCGGTTGTATCATTTATAATACCAGGGCTCATTTTACTAAAGAATTAAAAGTAATGTAAAACATACCCTTACAATGACAAAAACTGAAAGTATGTTTGGAATTATTTATTAATTATTAATAACTTACTTTTGTTCTTCCATTTTGGTTGTTTCCGCACTAGCTTCTAGGCATAGCCTCACCATCAATTTTCCGCGAGTACCGGACATTATTAATTATAATTTAATCATTTACAAAACATCGAAAAACGAAACCAAAACAATAATTTCATAGGTTAAATACACCCAACATGTGGTATCAAAACCTCGCAAGTCGCATATCTATTTCTAGATCAATTACTTACTTTAAATACCAAAACCTCCTAAGTCGAATTAGGAGATTTCTGCAAAACTGTTTGGGAAAATTTTCTTAAGAGGTTTTGACAGATGGCGCTATGGGTCCATAAACTTATAAATGGACTTACGAGCTTTTGCAGGCTTAAGGATTTTGATATTTTGTAAGTGTTTATCGAATAAAAGGTTAAATGGAAAAAAATCGACTTACGAGGTTTTGCACTTTAACCATCGAAGTGTAAATACCAAAAGGTTTTTAGTCATGTTTACTTAAGGTTCATATTTATGTATGCGTTATTTACATTCATTTTTTATAATCAAATATTTATAATTTGGTACAAGCCATAATGTATACACATTTTTAACAACGTCCTGGCTATCCCTATTCATTATTGAAATATTTTTTTAATAAAGAAGCCAGATACATGTTTGTACCTAATTAGTTGTTTTATTGTTAAGCTCTCCAATTGCACAGATTTTATTTATAACATCATTAGGTTATCTTCCTGGTTAAGTCACAATTAACTAGGTGGCGCCCACATTAATTTATTTCAATGGATAGTACTCAGTACCTACGAACCCTAGCTCTCTACTAATAGCTGGCTGCCGTGCTTTGTCCTAATCTGTGCTTTGTTTGACATAATTGGCACAAACATTGAACAGTAGGGTACATAATCATGAAATAGTAGTCCATGTCTTACAGTGAAGAGAATAGTTAAAGAACTGGAGTAAAACACAGTCTATCTCACTCTTTATTTTACAAAAATAATCAGTTGGAAGGGGAGTTGTACATGTTTCGGATCTATCATAGATCCATCATCAGCATAAGTTCTACAAGTTACAAAAATATGGGAGTTATGGGGAGGGCCTGGGGTGTATACATCAAAAACTTACCAAATGGCATAGGGAAAATATGGTCATATACGACATGCCTAAGTATAATAATTATACATAAAAATATATGTGTTCATATTGTTATCAGCATAAAGTTGGTGGCTAAAGCCGCATCCAACACAGAACCCCCCCTTCCAACTGATTATTTTTGTAAAATAAAGAGTGAAGATAGACTGTGTGTTTTACTCCAGTTCTTTAAAATACTACTAATTGTTTTTCCAAAAATTTTACGTTCTTCAAACCAAAATTATTGAAAGCGTTCTAAATTTCCCTAGAAAAATCAATTAAGTTGTCAGTTATTCACAACCATAGCTTTTAATATCTACTTCTGCTATAAATTTTTCAATGACAAGATTGTACACTCTAAACTCAAATTTAACAAAACAATAATAACAATAAGTTACTTACTTAAATCAATTCTATTCTAACTACTGCCAGCACACACTTAATTACTTTTTACTATAGCAAATTAAACCCGTTGTTTCGCGCTGTCTCGATTTGTCACTTGAATTCTGACTAACTGGACTCGACTGGCCTCGGACTTATTCACTGTATTACTATTGACCGCTTAACTGACAGGACTGATCTGGCCGCTAATCTGACTGTATCTGACCGACTGGACTTCTTCTCGACTCTTTTCTGCTCTCTTTCTGTTCCAATTCTTTCTTTTATAGTAAAATTCCCCCCTTTTGTTTCCTTTGTTCTTTATCGCTTTTGACGCTTCCTAATTTATGAGCTTCAGTCAACAGTTCCTTTGATCTCTGTGCCGCTTCTTTGTGTAATTGCTGGCGGCCTTGTTTTCCTTAATTTGGGCCTGCGGCACGTGTATGATTTATGGCTCTGTTATTCGGCATTCCGTGTGATGAAATGTTGCATCATTTAGCAGGTGTACAGTTCTTTGAGCTTCTCGATTTGGGTTGGGCAATAATTCGGTCAACGCTTATTTGTGAGTGTGTGATTTTAGGGATTTGATTAGGAATTCGGAGATTTTGATAATTTTCGGGTCTTTGTTCTGGATGATCCATTTATATATTTGGAAGTTTGAGGCATTTGTGGTTTGAGTCGTTGGTTCTCTGCCGATGTTGGTTGTAGCAGGTGATCATGATTGATTTTTGTTCACAGTTTGGAGGGTGGTCCTTGCTCTTCTGTTTTCGTGTTGGTTTTCAGATTTTCTTGAAATAATTTTTACTTTTATTTATTTTCTTTTGGTTTTTCTGGGTGGATAATTTCAGCATCACGTCGAAAGCTTTGCCATGATGTCAAGGTTGGAAAAGTTGCGGTACTTACTGTTGACTCGGTTTCAGAGGCTTGATCTCAAATTCTGTTTACTGAATTTGTTTTAATAAGACAGCGTGTCGAGCCTTTTAATGAATTTGCGATAAAGGGGATGTGACCCAAAAATGAAAGTTTTAGTACAAAAAAATCTAAGAATAAATATTTAAACCGCATTTTGCTACGATGGTCCGTTTTCGAGTTAGGACGGTTTAAAGATACAACTAGGTGTTTGTGACGTCACACAGTATTAACACGTGTAAGAATCTTCCAAAACAGAAGATAATAATTATCTTGAACTTGATAATTAAGTTTTGCCCTCTATGGTTTTGCCCTGAATGATGTGTCAAATTTTAGGTGTCAATAAGTTGATTTAAGGTCTGTTCGCACAGAAATCACAAACCAGTCAGAGCGAATTTCATTGGTTACGGTCACGTCAGAAAACTAGTTTCAACCAACGGACGCCGTGTTGTAGAAGTATTAAAACAACTTTTGGTTTATTGTTTGATGTAGCATCATGCAAGGTTGTATCTCCATCATTGTCTTGAGCATTTGTATTGACGCCATTTTTCAGCAATGAATTTACTACTTCATTAAGGCAAAACTTGATAGGTGTCAAAGCTGAGACCGCGGGTCCTTGCCCCAATAAGCTGCCCTGCCACCTTTTTCCGGCAAGTTTTCACGAGGCAGGAACGATTTTTTACATAGAGGACATCGATACTTTTAATCTGATACCCTATTTAGGGCATAACTCGATGGGGTAGTGTTACGGTTTTTTCAATTTGTTAAAAGATATTTCCGGCAGCATTTGCTCTCAGGCAGGAATTCTGGTTAATAGATGCACATAATACGATATATTGATAATAGTGTCGACACATGTTAAGTAAGTACATAACTCGATCGGGGTAGAAAAAACGCGGTCGTCTCCCAGCTATTACTGATTATATTTAAAAAAACTGATTATACCTAAATTTTCTATCGAATAAATATCCCCTTATAGATTATATTGAACAAAACTGAAAATATTACCTTAAATTTCTATCGATTAAATATCTCTTACTGATTATATTGAAAAACTGCCTATACCACCTTAAATTTCTATCGAATAAATATTCCTCACTTATTATATCGAAAAAAAAAAAGAAAGATTATACCCTAACTTTAAATTACATAATTACTACAAAACTTACTTAAATGCCTACTCCTCATTTTCCTCTTCTTCCAGTTCCTCCTCCCCTGTTTGGCGACGCTGGAGGGTCAACTGGTGTGGTCTTTCGGGGTTCCGGACGACCACCCTATACGTAGGCAGGACCCTCCTCTTAGCCACCTGTTCATTTCGGGGGCGGATTGGTCCATCGCGCCCTGGTCGACTACATGTGGTCTTGGTAGGTCTCGATTTGCTTGCCCCAGGTTAGCTAGTGCTCCTCCTGCAGGTTGTAAGGGAGGCCCTTGTACTCCTCCCTGCCATCCGGGGCAGCGGCACGTTGGTTGGTCACCTAGGGCGTCTATTTCTGCAATACCTCGCTCTACACCGAGGTCGACGATGAAAAAAATGACTCTCTATAAAGTAATCGCCGAATTCGATTCAATCACGGTTGCGACTGACTGGTATAACACAAGCGTATTGTCTCACAGTAAGTTATTCAACATGTTGATAAGACTCGACGACGCGTCCGAAAAACATAGTGCGCTACAAAAACAATTGGGTGATGAGTGTTGCGCCTTGGAGAGACACGAGCGTGAGTTCGAGGAGGCGCGACGCAAAATGTTGTATGCTGAAAACCTTGTTAATAATTCAAAAGCCAAAATCTCCAGATATACTGACAATCTATTATTTTTAGCAAAGACTTTTCATTATAGTGATAAGTAGTTTTTTAGCTTCAGGATTTAAATAATAAAAATGTAGGTATGTGAAATAAGTTCAAACAAATCGTTTCATTTCCCTATTCCCCTATCCCAATTAATTTCCAAGGTTATAACATTCGTAAGTCAAATTTGTGTTGGTACACCCAGACAACCCAAGATCACAATATGTTGAGGAGGGACCGGTGTATCAAGTTCATTACAACATCATAAAGATGAGAATGCGCTTACTGTCACAACTTCGCATATGAATATTGTTTGTAATTTACAACTATATAACAATAATGGATGCAAAGTTGTGAGCAACCAACTACATCTGTGAACCTAAAAATTGATTATCAAGGATTTCTATCTTTTCAGGTCGAAATTTGGGACTAAATGTAAACAAAAATGTGTTTTACACATAATAATATCTATTTCTAACTGAACTTAGAAACTAATACAAAGATCTATTTGCTACAGAACCATTTAACATATTGTAGCTGAAATAAGCGTCATGAATTATTAGTGCGTAAACTATAGTGTCTTTTGGGAATTTGGTCTTTCTAGTTTGAAATTCTATTTCCACGTCCACTGTGGAGGACTTCACGGCTTCTGGTTGGCGGCTGCAATCAATAATAAACAAAGGATTTTGTAAATACTCTGCAAAATCCAACATTGGCTCGTTCATTTCACGACCATAGTAGCTACTTTGGAAATTTTCATAGTTGTAATATGCTGGTGCATAAAGTTTCTTTGAAAATTCTAGATTCCATCTTTCATATGGATATACCGAGGAGTTCAGGTATAGGCGAATATCACTTACATCTGCGGTAGTGAATTCTGTGACGTCTTTTTCTTTCTTATCACAATTTTCATTTTGCGATTTATCGACAGCTTTAAATTTTTATCGACATCTTTGGAAAATTTGGGTAACGGGTTGGAAATTGACAGTTTCAGGAAAACACGAAAGTATTTTCCCAATAATGAGAAATTCGATTTAGTTCGTCAAAAGGGCGTTTTCCCCTATAGTTTCATTGATTTAATGGAAAAAATGAATTACCCAACTCTTCCAACAAAAGATCAGTTTTTCGATACTTTAAGTGAGGAAGACATCAACGATGAATGTTATGATAGAGCAAAGAAAGTTTGGCGATTGTTTCAGTGTAAGAACTTGGGGGAATATTCAGATGTGTATCTCAAGACGGATGTGATATTATTGAGTGATGTTTTCGAACAATTCCGCAATACATGTCTGGATGTTTACAAACTGGACCCCGCGCAATATTATACACTTCCAAGTTTATCATTTGATTGTATGTTGCGTATGACTAAAGTAGATTTGGACTATTGACTGATATTGATATGGTTCACTTTTTCAAAAAGGGTATTCGCGGTGGTATAAGCCAGTGTACTGAGAGGAAGCACATAGCCAATAATATGATAATCTAGAAGGGTATGTTTTAGAAGTTGACGTGCGTTATCCGGAAAGTTTGCATGATGCTCATGCGGACCTTCCTTTTTTAGTGGAAAGTATTGTTCCACCCACAGAGTCGGCAAAAATGAAAAAATTAATTCCAAACCTTAATGATAAACAAAAGTATATTGTACATTATCGAACTCTAAAACAAGCTATTTCGAACGGCCTAATTGTAATGCAAACTCATAGAGTCTTGAAATTCAGTCAGTCAAGGTGGTTGAAGAAATATATTGATTTCAACACAATATTGTGCAATTTGTCAACAACAAAATTTGGTAGGGATTTATTTAAACTGATTATAAATGCGATTTTCGGCAAGACAATGGAAAACGTGGAAAAGCGCAGCGATATAAAATTAATAACAGAGTGGGAGAACAGCGTATGTAGAGTTGGAGCACGAGCATTAATAGCTCGGCCTAATTTCAATAGCTGCTCATATTTCACTGAAGACTTTGTAGCTATTCACATGGATAGGGTCAAAGTGGTCTATGATAGACCGATATATGTTGGGTTTTCAATATTGGACATGTCGAAAACTGTGATTTATGATTTTTTTTACAACTTCATCAAGGAAAAGTTTGGCAGTGATGCTTCTTTACTGTACACAGACACTGATTCTCTAATATTAAAAGTGTTTACGGATGATTTTTATCGTTTTATCGATGAAAACCCAAACAAATTCGATACATCAAATTGGATTGACGGAAATCCTTTTAATATTAGGAAAAGTGAATCGATACCGGGTCGAATGAAAGATGAATTTCCAGGTGATCCGATAACCGTTTTCTATGGTACCGGAGCTAAAGCCTATTATGTACTTTGAATCCATTATTGTTATATAGTTGTAAATTACAAACAATATTCATATGCAAAGTTGTGACAGTAAGCGCATTCTCATCTTTATGATGTTGTATGAACTTGATACACCGGTCCCTCCTCTAACATATTGTGATCATGAGTTGTCTGGGTGTACCAACACAAATTTGACTTACGAATGTTATAACCTTGGAAATTAATTAGGATAGGGGAATAGGGAAATGAAACGATTTGTTTGAACTTATTTCACATACTTACATTTTTATTATTTAAATCCTGAAGCTAAAAAACTACTTATCACTATAATGAAAAGTCTTTGCTAAAAATAATAGATTGTCAGTATATCTGGAGATTTTGGCTTTTGAATTATTAACAAGGTTTTCAGCATACAACATTTTGCGTCGCGCCTCCTCGAACTCTCGCTCGTCTCTCCAAGGCGCAACACTGATCACCCAATTGTTTTTGTAGCGCACTATGTTTTTCGGACGCGCGTGAAAAAATCTCATTTGAGACGCTGAAAAAACGCTCCAGTCTGGCTGTGAAGACGAAGAAGCGGATTCGACATTCATGCGCTTCTGCTTCTTCCCAGCTCTCACAATTGATTTCTGATGTCCTCCGCCGCCGGCGATCGGTGATAATGACCGATCATCTATATCACAGACCGGTGTTGCTCCAGGCGGTGACATTTCGCTTTCGGGCTGAGTGATTTGCGAATACACATGTTTCGGTGATTGCATCAAATATTTAGGTGATGGTTGTGACAGCTCACCTGGTCCCTCTATCACTTGGATGTTCGGTGTGATATGCGCTGGAAGCTGTGTTTTGGGGGGAACAGGATTCGGCTTTTACTTCGGCTTTCTTTCGCTTTCCGGCTCAGTAATTTGCGAATACACATGTTTTGGTGGTTGCATCAAATATTTAGGTGATAGTTGTGACAGCTCACCTGGTCCCTCTATCACTTGGATGTTCGGTGTGATATGCGCTGGAAGCTGTGTTTTGGGGAGAACAGGATTTGGCTTTTTCTTTGGTTTTCTCTTAGCCTTTTTTGATGGTTGATCTGTACAAGTCGTAGCACAAAACATGCGTTTATTTCGAGCTACGTTAGCAGGCATTGTCAATAAGTTCTTGAGCTTGCTAAAAACTCTCGGCTGATCCGCTTCCTTGATCACCACACCACTAATTATTCTTATATTTTCCTCTTCCCCCCGCTGATCATTCTCAATTACCTGCAACAGATCGTCCATCGCCATATCGCACACCACGTCGTAACCGTCGTTCAGAGCATCATCCTCACAAGCTTTAGGCTGTAGATAGTCAAATATGTTCGGAGTTAACGTCCCGATATCTTCAAGTAGAAGTTTTTGAGCTGACTCACTCATGTTAATGACACCCGACAGAGAAGAGTTCACTGATTCCATCATTCAAAACTATGGAGACACTTTTGTTCACAAACAAAAATTCTCGTACTGAAGATCAAGCACCTTCCACTTATCTTTATATGCATTGAACTAGAGAAACGAAAATAGCATTTTAATTATGGAAAGTGCCTAACCAACTAATTAGACAGAATAGAATTAAGAAAGTTTTGCGAAACTTATTGTGATGCCTAATATCATTTTAAACGAATTCAAACTCGAAGTAAATAAATGGCTATTCGACACATTAGACACCGATAATGAGCAAAAATATGACGAATACATAAAAATAATGAGGACTAATCAACAAACATGACAAAACGATATTAAGCACTTTATTCCTAACTATCTTATCTTATGCTATCAAGACTCCCGAAAACAGCATTTTAATTATGGAAAGTAGCCAACTAATTAAACAGAATAGAATTATGCATTTGCGTCACCATCAAGGAAATGTGTACGGAGAATATTTCAAAGTCGACACAGGGAGCCAAGGCCAAATGACGTCACAAGACAAGGAGCCATTGCCAAATGACGTCAGGAAGCAAGGCCGAATGATGCCACCAACAAGGTTAGGAGCCATTGCCAAATGACGTCAGGAACCGAGGCCAAATGATGACACCTACAAGGTCAGGAGTGGGGGGAGAGAGCGCTCCGGGCTTTGATCACTACTAACGTGGGCATTTTTACTATACCCATCCATCCATTCTTGGAAGGACGACCAGTAGCGAGACACTTGACAATCAGGCCTATGATGTATCATGTTCTGTTATTTTAACAGCAACGTTAAGTTGTCTGTCACTCTTCATTATCTACGTCAAAATAGAGAGAGGTACATATGTTGAGCTATAACATAGCTGTTAAAATAACAGGAGAGGATACATAATAGGCCTGAATGTTTATGTTTTATAAATGTTCCTTACTTGCTATTTACATAACGTAGATATAATTCAAAACCTACGCTTGCTTTATATTACCTAACTGTATCGGTTATTTTACTTCTTAAAAATTTTCTGATTACAATTTTATGAATATCATTATTACCTGAATTTATCGATTAAGTTACCTTTTAAAATTCCTCCCTTCGTCATAATAAAAGGTCTGTTTTACCTCAACTATCGATTAAATATCCCTATCCGATTAAAAGTCTCGATGTCCTCTATCTAAAAAATTGATCCTACCTCAGGCAGGGCAGCTTATTAGGGCAAGAGCACGCGGTCTCAGCATTGACGCCTATCAAGTTTTGCCCTCTATGGTTTTGTCCTGAATGATGTGTAATCTGTGATGATGTGTCAAATTAAAGGTGACAATAAGTTGATTTAAAGTCTGTTCGCACAGAAATCACAAACCAGTCAGAGCGAATTTCATTGGTTACGATCACGTTAGATAACTAGTTTTAACCAACGGATGCCGTGTTGTAGAAGTATTAAAACAACTTTTGGTTTATTGTTTGATATAGCATCATGCAAGGGTGTATCTCCATCATTGTCTTGAGCATTTGTATTGGCGCCATTTTTCAGCAATGAATTTACTACTTCATTCAGGGCAAAACTTGATAGGTGTCAATTGTCAATGCTGAGACCGCGCGCCCTTGCCCCAATAAGCTGCCCTGCCACCTTTTTCCGGCAAGTTCTCACGAGGCAGGATCGACTTTTTACATAGAGAACATCGATACCTTTAATCTGATACCCTATTGAGGTGATAACTCGATGGGGGTAGTGTTATGTTTTTTTCAATTTGTTAAAAGATATTTCCGGCAGCATTTGCTCTCAGGCAGGAATACTGGTTAATAGATGCACATAATACCATATATTGATAATAGTGTCGACACATAACTCGATCGGGGTAGAAAAAACGAAAAATGAAACCTTGCATTCCATGCTAAAAATAAAAGAAACAAAAATTGGCGCAAGCGCGCGCATAACATTTTGATACTAACTGATACTATAATGCCGAAAGTTATTTACTTGTATGTTTTGGTATCCATATTTGCTCATATAAGAAATATTTTGCATTTTAAAATTTAAAAAATATTGTACTTTCAAAAATTTGCATTCTTGAAACCTTGCACTCCATGCTAAAAACAAAAGAAACAAAAATTGGCGCAAGAACGCGCAAAACATTTTTATAATATCTGATACTTTAATGCCT